CAGATGATTGTCTGCCAGTATTAAGCAATTGGTAATTAAATATTTAATTTGTTTTCCCTAAACAGTGTAAAATTTTGGAAAAAAAATTTCACGAAAATGTATTGTCACACACAACGAGTCTGTGTGGAAAATGTCAGCTCGATTGGATCACGGGAAGTGGGTTAAAAAACGAGCGAAAGATTTGCACGGTCCTAAGCAAGCAAGCGAACTTAATATAAAGGATTTAAAAATATATTCGCCTGTGGAGGACGCGGGGATCGATCCCGCGACCTTTGGCATGGGAAGCGAGGGCGCTACCAACTGCGCTACTCCACCACGGCCTGTGGAGGGGTTACGCTCTGGGCTCTTACACTCTGACGTTCAGCCAAAGCCATGAATGCGTTCTATTTGAATATATGTAAAATAAAATTTTTTTGCCTAAAAAGTGTAAAATTTTGGGAATTTTTTTTCACGAACAATAATTGTCTGGCACAACGAGTCTGTGTGGAAAATGTCAGCTCGATTGGATCACGGGAAGTAGGTTAAAACACGACCGAAAGATTTGCACGGTCGTAAGCAAGCAAGCAAGCACGCGAACTTAATATAAAGGATTTAAAAAATACCCCTCGACCCGTATCACAAGGACAGCTCTCACGTGAGTTATCTGTACAGGTTACTTTCAAAACACACACTTTCTCCGAACAATCATGTGTTCCGGTGTGCTGTACTTGTGACAAATTAGCATTGTTCTGCCTTATGGCAGGAGTTTTGCCTCACAGCAGATTGGGGGGACGTATGTACACAGGAATTTCCTGTTTTTTTATGCTAATTTTGGTCACGTGACCAGGAAGTTGCGATTTAAGATTCCCGCTCAACCAAGCGGGCGTCGGCCATTACACACATAATTCAAGATGGCGGCACACATCGCATCCCAGTGAAGCCAGCCGCAATTGTCCATTGTGGGACCTTAAGAAGCATTGTCTGTAAGTTTGTTTATGTTCTTATAATATTGGCAATGCTGTTATGTTAGAATGACCGTTATGATGTAAATGCCTTTATAATGCTGTTAAATTATGATAAATATGAGGCCTAGTTAACAACGAAGCCTGCAACTTTCCTTATTGTGAATGTTACTTGTAGTTTAATAATTCGAGTCAAACTTGTACCCAAGTAACTATATTGTGATCTGGAGAGCAAGGATGACAAAATGTCTCATTCATAGTGCAGTGTAATGTGTAGTACTGTACATCTGGGGTGCAGTGTGATGATAACACGGTGTGCCTTTATGTAACACAGTAGCTTATGCTCTTGTATAGCTATTCAGTGGTAATGTAGGTGCCTGGTCCATCCATGATCTATTGTTGAGAAGCATGTTATCTAAGACAATGTTATGATGCTGTGGTGTTCATTCATTGTTGGTGTTTCCAGGTATTAACAGATGCTGTATGTGCTGTTTTCTCACCAGTTTTACCTCGTTAAAATCAATAAATGACGTTTGGAGTCGGATGTTCACCCTGGCTCTGAGGGTTTATTGGACGCGAGGTTATCTACTCAGCTAGCGGTGCAACGCAGCGCACAGCGAGGCCGAGACAAGCATGTTCTGTTGACGTGACAACCCGTACTTGTTGGCCGTGTCGGGTGGTGGCAGGTTTTACGACACAATTGTATATTTACGCGATCTAACTCAAAAACCTATATTATGGACGTATTCCATGTTTAACCCTGATAGACAAAATATTACATGTACGCACAAAATTAGACAATTATTAATTCAATTATAATTCTAAATTATCGATAGGCATATTGCCAAAATGTAATAACTGCACTGAAATGTACTTCATCATGTTATATCATATTTACAAGTTGATCTGTCGAATGAGGCCTACACCTGCAGCATTCAGATTGAGTGCATTCTATTTTTTTTGCAGTTCAAGGTTCAAATCCGACAGGCATCACTGGTTCGTTCAGGAACATTAATTACAAATATGCATCGTCTGCTTAACAGTTGATTGTAAAAAATACTATTGTCTCATTCAAAACGAGTAGGCGATGGTATGCTGGCATTGTGGTTAAAATTTGGCAAATTAGAAACATTACTCACAAATTACACAACTGAGATTATGCAACAATCATCGCCCTCTACTGACAGACTCATGCCAACATGCGGGCTGGTGCAGGGCCATCTTATGCCACACAGAGGCAGCTGCCACTTGGGGTGCTTGTTTAATATCGTGTAATGAAAAAAAGTAAATAAAGAACATGTAATTGTATTAAATTATGATACAGTCTTCACATTTATGCAAATTAGGCTCTGCTTCATTATCTAGGGGTGTATTACCAATCGTGATAATACAATGAAAAGTGTGACATTTTCTAACATAACGCAAATATCTGGAAATATGTAAATGTATGCCACTATGCAAATGACTCAGCTTCATTGTCGAGGATGTATTACTAATCGTGATAATACAACAAAAAGTGTAATTTCTTAAAATTATGCAATTGATGGAATATCAATGTATGCAATGTCGAAGGTTGTATTGCCAATTGTGATAATCCAGCGATTCTCGTTTTAACTTTTACTGATTCTGTTTTAGTGTAATTCTGTCAGGTCTCAGAATTCAGATCTCACTGCAGAATACAGCTCTTATAATTAAGGTTATTACGCATGAACCTAGAAAGGAACCACTCAGATTATTCTGTTAAGCAACTTTAATATCTAAAAACACTCTAATATGCGAGTACACTTACAATCAGAATTGTCAACACCGTACTCCTTAAGATGTCCTACTCATTGAGCCATACAATTAATCTCAATGGTTACGTTTGTTAAAACTTGAGTAACAGAACAATCGGCTAACGACCATACACGGCGATAGGAAAAATCCTTATAAATATATATTCATTCGAAACATGCTAAAGAAACGTGCCTAATGGAAAAAAGTAGACATCAATGACTTCATTAAGATTATGCAATTAACGAAATGTCCTGAAGCAATAGTGTGCATGCTCGTGTGCCTGTTTGGCTAACAGATGCTTATCAATTGGCTAATGGGACATCAATGAATTTGCGGGCAAGAGTCTGTGATCAAAAGAAACATCTCAACACAATAGTATTCCTGTGTGTAGATTCGTGATATAGATGCTTATAAATGTTTATCGTGTCATCAATGAATTGCTAAATACTTATAAACGACTGTATTAATGGAACTCAATGTACAGAACAATGCTTTTCATGATCACCTAATAATTAACGCACCACCTTGGGATGGCAACCCTTTTCGAAACCAAGATAACTTTTTAAAATAATCTTAGTAGCAATATGCGCGTTGTGTGTGGGTGTGTGTTGTCTTCTTGCTAACTGTTGAGTTGGCAGCTTCCGAGGTGCAGTGTTTCTTGTACAGAAAACACCACAGGTCTCCAGCAGGGGCGCTGGGTCTGCGTGTGTCGAACACGGCGCTCTCGGCTGCTTGCTCAGTCTCTCTCCACCGCTGCGGTGGTTGCCGAGTCGGCACGATGGTCACGCTGTCGGTGGTGCCCGTGCTGGCAGGGATGATGGCTCCGTCTGCGTCGATGTGTGCGATCATCCCGTCGCCAGACAGCGCTCGCAGCTCGTCCACTAGTTGCCACGCATCACCCACCTTGGCACCAGACACTGTTGAGCCTTGTCGACTGTGGAGCAACTTGGAGAGACAGCGCCTGTCGTCTCACCCCCCCCCCTCCACCTCTACAAGAGACCTCTTCCAGTTGTCTGTACGACTCGTGCTGCACAGAGGACACGCTACAGATCAAGTTATATCATTCCGTGTCAGTCTCTGACCCGACCCTCAACTAAACTTCGCCTGTGGGTTGCAATTTAAAGGGGCACTCTCAAGAATAGTGGTTGCACCAGTTTTCCCTCGAAGGGTTGACTTTGATCAGAGCACAATAAGAACGATTGTCACTATGATCGTACGTGTTGGCTGTACACAACGACATCGCCACCGGGAATAGTAATGCTACGGCACTCTTCCCCACGTTTGTATTGTAATGCTGCGAGCACCAGCCTTGGCTGGCAGCCTCTGTCAATGATGCAGAAATAAACCTCTCCGTGATGTGTGGCTTCTGCTGATGCAGAGCACCCTATGAATTTGCTAGTCACGAGGGCAATCCCTGGAGCCTGCCACTCGCAGTACTTTGTTTTTCGTATGGCATTGTGAAAAGCAAAAGTTTTATTTTTAATGATCGTCATAAATGAATGCAAAGGTTCCTCATCCAGGCCAATGTGGTTGACGCAGTGTGGATTTCAGTTATACTGCCAGGATGGAGCATTCATCGGTGATATGCTTGATGGTTTTGACTTCTCTACAGTTGCAGTTAGGTGATTCTTTGGGCAGTACTGATTTCTGTTCTTGCTTATCTGTAATTGTTCCACCTCAGGCTTTTTCTTCTCACAAAGGGGTAGCTGTTTTCCTTTTGAAGTCGCTTGGGCTGTTTGTTGTCCGGATGTCTTTATTACCGCCATGTATCCATTCACATTTTTGGCAGCGTTCCCCACGCTCCCATCACGAGTTCGAAGTGTTACAATTTTTCGCATCAGACTTGCGGTCTCTCTCAAAAAGGGGCACTGACTTTGAAGTCGTGACCTATTGTGCACGGGTGTGCTTGCTGTCGCCATGTTTTCCATCCTCTCAACATGGGTTGGAAGTAAAAAAAAATGTACACCTCTTATAGCTTAGAACCGTACCACTTTCTGTAGTTTTGACTCTGCAAGCGACTCAAAGTATGTTTTGAGCAGAGTTCACAGCCCTCACGTCACAGTTTGGAATTCTTGCGTGGTATTTGATATATTAGGGGGAGGCGCCCCCTGCATACATAATTTACTGCTACGGTGTGCTGTTAGCTACTGGAAGACAAAGGCGGTTGGTGAAGCTCTGATTATCGCGTGTGATTGACATATTTCGCATTAAAATAGGCAGAATCACTCTTAACATAAATTTTAGAAAAAAGCATATATACAACATGCTGTTCAAGTGTTTGTGATGAGATATGAAACTTCGAGTTGTTGAGGCGATTAAGCAAGCACCAGATAAATGCTAATATTATTATGAAAACATTGTGAATGCTTGGGAGCTTATTGGCTCTGGCTCCTGGATAGAGATCTACCCAACCCGCAGGTCCGCAAATACTGGCCGCTCGTCCTTTGCAGGTTTGAACCTGGAAATTGAGTGTTCAACTTCACATTATTTTAATTAAAGGCCTGTGACAAAGGTGAATCTATTGGAGCTTCATTGTCAAGCTTACACATCTACAGGGTCTCCATTTGGCTTTGTATTGTCTAAGAAGTCTACCCACACCTCCACTTCCACAAACTGCTCGGAGTTGCCATGCTCTGCCTCAAAGTCAGAATTCTCCTGCTTCACGTTGCCTCCATCAATGTGAAGGTGCGATTTTGGAGTTGAATATTCATTTTCACATTTTACCGTCACTTCTTCGCTCTTCACCATCACTTCTTCACATTTCACCTTCACTTCTTCGCTCTTCACCATCACTTCACATTTCACCTTGATACGTTTCATAGTGTCCAAGCTAGAATTTACTTCTGGTTCTTTTATCAGGAGGGATGGGCTCATTGAAGCACTTTGACTTTCACAAGTCGATTTCAGACTACACTCCTTGGGGATGTTCTGATGCCTGTGTGTCTTCTGGTGTCTATGAAGACCTGATGCCTGTGCAAACGCCTTCCCACACAGAGTGCACCTGAAGGGTTTCTCTCCTGTGTGTGTTCTCTGGTGCATTTTAAGATAAAATGAAATTGAAAATGTCCTCCCACACACAGTGCACTTGAAGGGTTTCTCTCCTGTGTGTGTTCTCTGGTGTATTTTAAGATTAAATGAACTTGAAAATGCCTTCTCACACAAACTGCACTTGAAAGGTTTCTCTCCTGTGTGTGATCTCTGGTGTTTTTCAATATGTGATGACCGTGTAAACGCCTTCCCGCACACAGTGCACTTGAAGGGTTTCTCTCCTGTGTGGGTTCTCTCGTGTCTTCGAAGATGTGATGACACTGCAAACAGCTTCCCGCACAGAGTGCACCGGAAGGGTTTCTCTCCTGTGTGTGTTCTCTGGTGTTTTTTAAGAGCAGATGAATCTGAAAATGCCTTCCCACACACACTACACCTGAAGGATTTCTCTCCTGTGAGAGTTCTCTGGTGCTGTGTCAAATTTTCAGTACGATCCGTGCTGTTTGCATACTGGTCGCAATGTTTCCTTTTTGTACCGAGCTGCGCTGAGTGCCTTTGCTCCATCAGGCCAATTCTGCAGAACAAGCGTCAGCTGCAGAGAGAAAAACATATCCATACCATCTACATCAGTATCGAGGCAGAGAGGAATTAATACATACAGTCACCCTTGAATTGCACGTCTAGACTTATTAATATCACACGGGCTGTAAAGGCACACAATGAGAGGGCAAGTTGTCAGAAACCTGCCCGGAAGCCCTAGTATCTTCGAAATGAATATTTACCCAAAACTCCAAGCACACAATTTAGAAAAATTCAGCTAACATAGCGAAGGGTGTTGAAAATAATACTTTGTATTATGCATAAATGCATACATTAATATTCTTTGGGTCTTTTGGTAAAGGCACATAGATGGGGAAAATATAATAAAATAAAAATAATAAATATCACGACATTTCGATCGCAACACAAGCAATTGTCATCATGTGAGAGCTGCTGAGGTAGGAAAGAAATATATGGCAGCAGCGCTGCGAAGGCAGGGATTTATAAAGGTTTGAGATGGGAGGAGCCCAAGGGACAGTGGGCGGGGCAAGAGATGAGATTTGCATGTAAACGTAAGATAGGAGAAATCTTGATAAACTAAGTTGTGGGGGTGGCCATTGTATTGTGAGAGATTAGCATGTCAAGGTAAGAAATTTGCTTTTAAATGTAAGCTAGGGAGTTCTCGGACATCGCCACATGGAGGTGCATAAATGAATGTTCAATCGAAACTTCCAGGTGTGAAGCCAGGCTCAGATTTGATTGAATGCTCGGATGAACAAATCTAACTTCAGCTGCATATGTGCGGAGATATTTTCCTGACCGTATCCATTCTCAGAAAAAGTTCCAGAGGAAAACTAAAATAAACTATTCTTTTGATGTTTACCTCCTTGCTCAATGGTTCATATACTTTACTGCAAATACAAACTTGACACTGTCACACACTGGCATGGTAAAAAGGTGGTTGCGTGTCCAGAACCATGCCTGGCCCCCTTCATCTGCTCTGTATTATTGCTTCCTCGCTTCACCATGTAATTATTTTCAGATCAATCAACATAGCAGAGGCCCACAATAAGTTCAGCTTTCACTTATCAATCGTGTTTGCTATTGGCAATACTCAATCTATTTGTTGAGTTCATAATGCAGTGAAATAACCGCACCACCACTCCCTACAAAGATAAACTCTTAAATACACGTACATTTCACATGGATCATTATAACATATTAGAAAAAAACCATACACTCTTCATGAAGAACTGGAAGTAACCTTATTACAGTGCTAATACCATTATAGGTGCAATTGAACGCCATGTAAGTGGCTTTAAATTTGTCTCATATGGACTAGACCTTGGCGATGGACACTCACAGCTTTACTGAATAAACCAAAGAGTATGGATCCTTGCAGTCACGAAAATTTGAAATTTAGAACTCACAGCTTTGTATGGAGCAAAAGTGTAGGCACCTTCCACACATGATAATAGGTTTTCCCCTTTTTTTCTGGCAACAAAACGGGTGTTAAAATGTTAAAACACCAAACTGAAACCTTTTACAAGGAATCATGTCTGCATTAACCACAATGCTTGTGGTCAGAATGCAAAAAAAACGCTGATAATATATGTATTGTCTTTAAACTGATTGGTCCACACCAGAGACAGCGTTCTTTTGAGCCTCGTCTCAAACGGTGTTAGACCAGAGGACGCCAAAAGGCATACAGCACCAAGACAATGCACCATCAGAGTAATGAGAGCTCGGGGTGAGCATCGACATCATGGGACCTCCTTTGCCAGTACCAAACACAGTGTTACACAGTCTAATGAAAGAATGCTGCTAAACTAATTTTAAGTGATACTTTGGCTGCCAAACCAGAGCTGGTCGTGAACACATTAACCAAGTATGGGAGCTCCTCCAACACATGTAGAACTGCATGATTATTAATGGAGAGTTGAGCAGGAGCAGTTGTTGATGACATTCAATTCCCAGGCAGGTGATTTTTTTGTGGAACATTTGCAAGGCCCCATTTCATGATAGAATTATCAAGCCACAGAACAAAATTCCCTAATTCCATCTCATTAAGTAGCCATTACCAGATCATCAGCAGATGTAACATGGTTGACCAGCAGGGAACGATCCTTTAATTATAACCAGGCATCGATTCGTGTATCATTGTAACCCTAACGAATGCAATGGTTTTGAAATGACCATTGGGATCTTCTAAAACTACATAGTTATTGAAGATGCTATGTAATGTAATGCATGGGGCCAGGGTGAATTTCTGTCACAAGCCAAGTTGAACAGGAAATGGCTCCGACTCTTGGTCACGCAACTTTAGACGGGGATGCCCAAAATCAAACAAATCCTCAAATGTGAGCTGAGGCATTGATTATTTAATCAAATAGCTACCCAAAGAAACCAAGCCTCTTTATGGTACTATAGGCGTTAATTAAGAGTGCAGAGATCTAGCTTCTGGTGAAAATCCATCCACCTCTGCTGTAGTCAATAGACAGAAAATACAGCAGCAGGAACATCAGGATCGTTTCCACTATCAACTCACCTACCTACAAACAGGCCCATTTTATGTTTGAGACCTTGCTTCCATTCACTGGCAAGACTACCTCAGCAGTACGTAACTCAGCTCACTTGGTCTCTCTAATAAAGGGCATTTCACTGTCCCCAGATGATTTTCACGTCAGCTTTGATGTAGTCTCTCTGTTCACCAAGGTTCCTGTGCCTGACACCTTAGCAATAATTGAAGATGTAGTCCAACATGGACTGAATCCTGATGTTCCTACTCTGGTTAGGCACTGCCTTACCAATACTTCACCTGGAATGGTACTTTCTACAAACAAAATGAAGGTACCCGATGGGTCCCCCCTTATCACCAGTGATAGCGAATGTTTTCATGGAGAAATTTGAAACAGATGCCATCCAGACATCCACCCTACGCCCTTCCTTGAGATATGTAGATGACACTTTCGTCATTTGGCCACGTGGCCTGTCAGCATTGAACCAATTTCTCAACCACATTAATTCCATACACCCATCCATCAAATTCACCATGGAAGAGGAGAAGGATGGTAAGCTACCATTCCTGGATGTTTTGTTTGAGAAGAGGCCGAATGGCTTGTTGGGACACTCTGTCTACAGGAAATCCATCCACACAGATTCCTATCTGAAACCTGATTCCCACCACAACCCGGCACAGAAGAATTCCCTCATCAAAACACTACACCATAGGGCCCACTGCATTTCTGACCAACACCACCTAGCCAGTGAACTGGAACACGTACACCAGGCCCTCAAGATGAATGGGTACTCAGACCGCATTATTCGCAAAGCTGCTTCTCAAACCATGGAGAAACAACCCACTGAGACTCGGATCAAAACCATCACGTTACCATACATAGCAGGTGTTACCAAAAAGATTTCCAAAATCTTAAACAAACACAAGATCCAGGTCCGATTCAATACATTACACAAAATCCGTGATCTAATCCCATCTGTGAAGGATGTCATTCCTGACATGCAATATCCTGGAGTCGACAAATTAAGTTGCACCTGTGGTGGCTGTTACATTGGGGAAACGAAACGACACATCTCAGACCGTGTTCGCGAACACATGGCAGATCTGAAACATGGTAGAACCAATACCTCTGCTGTGGCTGATCATTGTTATAATGCTGTGGGCTCGCATGATATTGGTTTTTTTCCGAGATCAAGGTACTCTGCAAACCTTCGGACTACTATCAAAGGTTTGTTCATTAAGCCATCCAGATATATAAACAGACATAACTTCAACCGAGAAGATGGATACAAATTGAGCAATCATTGGAAGGATGTTACTAACGAGGTAAAACCCTAACTGCTTTGTATTGGTTGTCGTCTATCATATCTGCCGGGTACTACTATACCACGCAGCGCTCGCCCTCCCCCTACCCCACACCGCCAACCAACCCTCTCCCCCCTTGCTCCTCCCCCCTTTCTTACCTATATAACCTCTTACCATGGCAACTCTCTCTCCCATTTCAGCAAAAAAATGTATTGCTCTGGTTTTCCCACCTGATCATGTTGATTGTTTGTGTTGCAATCGAAAAGTCGTGATTTTATAAATTTTATACCGACAAATCTATATTGCATTCACTCACACACTCACTATTTACTCTTCATGCTTATTAACTTTAACCTCCACCTATACTGTTCCTAGCGAAAAATGTGTGCTTCTCTTCAAAGCCGATTACAATCATTTATGCGATTGGTACAAGTTCTGCAATTGCTCCACCTAAAGATAATGAAACTCCTTAACACAAAGTTAGACAGCATGCTGCCTGTGCTGCACCTACAGCTAATGAATCTCGTGAACACTAAGAAGAGCATGTTGCCAGGGCTGCGATGTCTGCACCTATTGATAATGCCACTCCTGAACACCAAGAAACAAGACAGCATGCTGCCAGTGCTGCCATGGCTGCACCTACAGCCAAATAATGTCCTGCCATTGGTTCCATGTCTACTTCTTGCAGCTACTGCCATGCAATGACATGGAAAGGAGAACCTACAGGGCTATGCTTGCAACAGTACCATGGTTCAGCTGCCTACAATTAATGACCATCCCGAGCCTATTCATGTATTTATACCTGCCAACACTACCGATGCAAGCCAATTCCAAAGCATAAGGTCTATATTTTGGCACCAACCAACTCATCACGACATCTGGCTACATGCCCACATTTAAAGTGCAGGGCCAGGTACATAATCGCATTGGCAGTCTGCTGCCACTAGCTAATGACCTACCTGCATTACCACATATCTACTTGCATGTCTGACAATACTAGACAGGCTCACCAGCACTGAAAAAATGTCATCAACACCAAGATGCAAGTCCTATTGCTGTGGAAAGATATGCTCCACTAAACTCCACATGGTCAACATGAGTACCGCTTAAATGCATTCACACCATCTTCAGTCGCTGTCTTTCTGACTGCTGAACAACATGTCACTCAAGGCATCGCCTTGCAACTGAGGACCAAATACCCTACACAGAAATGAAACACACCGATCCAATTATGCTCTTCAATGTCGACTGATTTTCTGGGAAGTGGATGATCGCTGCCATTTCCTACCTCGCCAAACTGCTGTCGACATATATGCCAAAATTGAAGCTTCATTCGATTAAACCCATCAGATGGCAAAACATCCAACATTGTCTATCCTTAAGTTCTCCAAGTGCAACAAATTTAAAAGCTGTCCTCATGATTAAACAAACAAGCCCTGTGATTGTATAATACAACCAAGAACCCATGACAATATACACACATTTACAGACTTAATTGCCAGATTTCAATAATTCTAATAAAGCCAGCATTGCAAGACATTACTCTTAATGTTTGATTACTCAGACTTGTGCGAACCGGGTAACTTAGTTATTACTGAATACAATATTTTCGATGATGTTTGTGCATGAGTGAAAAGTGGCAGTGCAATGGTTAGCGTGCTGCGCTATAACCCAGCGACCTAATTTATATTCCCACAGAGCCAAGCCACAACATTTGGCTGTCGCCTGTTGAAGCTGGTGGCAATTACTGGCGAACGCCGTATTCTGATGGTAAATGTTGTGGCTTGGCTCTCCAACACACAACCGGTGTGCTGTACTAGTGACGAACTGACCACATTCTGTTTATGTGACAACCCTTACTAGTTGGCTGTGTCGGGTGGTGGCGGGTTTAACGACACCGTGAAAATTTACGCGATCTAACCCAAACAAACCTGTATTACGGATGTATATTGGAGTTTGCGTGTCTCTCTCCCCGTGGTCGGGTGGAATTTATTCCGGATCCTCCGGTTTTCCTCTGCACCTTAAGAGACAACATCACCACGCGTTTAGAGTATTTGACCGATATTCATTTCCACATGTTGATAAGCCACTTTGTTGTGTGCAGGTCGCTTCTGAAAAAGAGCAGAATAGTTCAAGTGAGCTATGTCTGGAAAAATAAAACTGTATAAATAATTAAAAGAAACAAAGTTTCAAAGTAGTGAGCCAGGTGAAGACAAATTAAACTTAAGCAGAGAATTAAATCAAATGCAATCAGGCGAGGGTAGGAGGCAAGGCCCCACATGGCTAGGCCCCGCGTTGTATTGTTCCAACCTGGACATCGATTCCATACTCGCTGCTACTCAATTGATATCCCTACGAGAGGAGCGAGGCTCTACCTGAGTAAACAACAACAACCACAACAACAACCACCACGATGTGAACTTCTCACCACGGATCTCAGTGAGCGCGCGCGCGGATCGGCAGCTTCCTGGTATCTCGTGACGTCACGCGGCAGCACGAGGTGACATGACGTCACTATCGGGGTACACCTCCCCCTCGCATTTCGCTCTGAGGTAATGCAATGGAGACGTCATCGAACGAGGTTAGAGTTCAAGTGTATTAAGATTCCTATTACATTGCTCCCTCACTTGAACATTGACCCCTTGGGTGCGTGAGCTCAACAACAACGTGAACATTATTGTGTGTGTACAAACTGTGTATACACTGTGTGTGCGTACAAACTGTCCACTGTGTATGTGTGTACACTGTTGGCACAGTAGGGAGCACAGGTGGTACATCGGCCAGTCATCTCAGTCGACCCATCGCACCTGAGTTTGTCCTGTCACCTCCTGCCGGCGGGCGTTCGACACTTCACCTGAGGACGGCTGCTTGCGTAGTGGCCGAAACGTCGTGAGAATTATTTTATTATGTTTTATTTTTATTATTTTATTACTTCCCTTCTACGTGACTTTACCGAAAGAACCAAGAAGATGAATCCCTGTCACGAAAGCTTTAAATCGAAACTTCACGTGGCCTTAACGTGCACATCGGAGCCGTCCATAAATTACGTCACGCACCTAGGGGGGGGGGTCAGATATTTGTCACGATGTGTGACGGGGGGGGGGGGGTTGAGAAATGTGACGTCACATCAAAATGCGCAACTTTAAATAAATATAGACAAGACGTTCTACTTAAAACATTTATTAAATAGAAGACTTTTTCTCCTACATCAGAGTGCAGCTCCACATTAAATACGCACTACAATGACAATAATTTATAGCGATTTGAAGCGTGTTTTATTTTGGGGGGGGGGGCAGAGCTTTGTGACGTCATATTTGAGGGGTGGTCTGACTTTTTGTGATGCCGAGTGACGATGGTTGGGGGGGGGTCAAAAACTGTCCAAAATCGCGTGACGTAATTTATGGACGGCCCCTTAGGGATTAATAAAGTCAGCCATCAGAGACCACACACAGGAGAAAAGCCCTTCAAGTGCAGTGTGTGTGGGAAGGCATTTTCAGATTAATCTTCTCTTAAGAAACACCAGAGAACACACATAGAAGACAAACTCTTCAAGTGCATTCTGTACAGGCATCAGAAGATCCCCAAGGAGTGGAGTCTGAAATCGACTTGTCAAAGTGCTGCAATCATCCCTCATGAAACAAGAACTAGCAGAAAATCCCAGCAATTACACTTTAAAAGTATCAAGGTGAAATATGAAGAGACGAAGGTGAAAGTGAAGAAGTGCCGGGGAAGAGCAGTAAATTTTGATTTAAAGCTTTCGTGACTGCAGGGATTCATCTTCTTGGTTATTTCGTTAAAGTCACGTAGAAGGGAGATAATAAAATAATAAAAATAAATCATAATAAAATAATACAATTCTCACGACGTTTCGGCCACAATGCAAGCAACCGTCCTCAGGTGAAGAACAGGTCTGTCGGAAAGACAGCGTCTGAATGAACACCACCAAACTTGGCAGCGTATATTTAAGCTGGGGGGTTAGGGGGGGAAGAGCGCCTTGACAAAGAAATTTGCATATCAACATAGGAATTTTGCATATTTATGGAAAATGCAGATATGGGATTAGTCACTACTTGTGGAATGCGTAGGAGGGGGGGGGGGGTCTCAAAGTCATATTATGCCCGTGCATTATGTAGGATTAGCAGCAACAAAGGGAGGAGGTAGGGTTAGGGTTAGCAGTAATACCGAAAGAACCAAGAAGAAGAGCAAAGAAGTGAAGGTAAATTGTGAAGATGAAGAATCAACTCCAAAATCAGACCTTCACATCGATGGAGACAACGTGAAGCAGGAGGAGAATTCTGACTTATACAGAGCGAGACAACTCCAAGTAGTATGTAGAAAAAACACAGGATCGAGGTTCGTTTCAACACAGTACACATAATCCGTGATTTAATCCCATCTGTAAAGGATGTGATTCCTGCCATGCTGTACCCTGGTGTCTTCAAACTGAGTTGTGGTTGTGGAAGCAGTTACATTGGGGAAACGAAATGACATATCTCGGACCGCGTTCGTAAACACAAGGCAGATCTGAAACACGGTAGGACCAATACATCGGCCGTTGCCGATCATTGTTTTAACGCTTTGGGCTTACACGAAATAGATTTTTCCAAGACGGAGGTACTCTGCAAACCGACCAGCTACCTTCAGAGATTTGTTCATGAAGCCATTCAGATATATAAACATAGACACAACTTCAACCGAGATGATGGGTACAAACTGAGCAATCATTGGAAGGACGGTATTAACCACGCAAAGTCTTAACTTACTGTGATGTTTCCATCCTACCTGCCTATGTCAGCTGTTATTTCATGCTATTCTCTCACTTTAACATAGCCACTTCCGTGCCCAGTTAATGCTAATTCCTCACATTAACATCATGCCAATCTCTCACATTATCATAGCTACTTCCGTGCCCAGTTACAGGCTCATTTCTAACTTTAACATCAAGCTAATTTCTCACATTATCATAGCTACTTCAGTGCCCAGTTACATGCTAATTTCTCACATTAACATCACTCGACCCAGCCACTCCTTTATAACCCTTGGGCTACACCCATTTCAAACCTATAAAAAAGTCTGCATCAGCAGCAGGCCATGCTTTCCCACCTGATGACGGACGCTTGTGTTGCGCCCGAAACGTCGTGATTTATTTTATTTTTATACCTATGTGACTTTACCGATATAACCAAAGAGAATATTACGTGGAAGTAGAGCTGTGGGTGGACTTCTTAGACAATACAAATTCAAATGGAGATCTTGTAGATGTGTAAGCTTGAGACTATGAAGCCCCAATAGATTCATTCACCTTTGTCACAGGCCTTTAATGAAAGAATGTGAAGTTGAACACTCAATTCCTAGGTTCAACCTGCAGAGTAAGAGGGGCCAGTATTTGTTGACCTGTGGGTTGGATAGATCTCTAACCAGGAGCCAGAGCCAATAAGCTCCCAAGCATTTACGAATTTTATATTAATATTAGCATTTATATGGTCTTTGCTCAATCGCCTCAGCAACTCGGAGTTTTGTATCATAGAGCACCTCCAAGTGGCAGTTCCTCCTGTGTGGCATCAGGTGGCCCTGCACCAGCCTGCATGTGGGCATAAGTCTGTCAGTAGGGTGCGATGATTGATGTGCAATCTCGATTATGTAATTTCTGGATGTTTGGAATAACCCAAATATTTACCATGACACCAACATGCGTTTTGAATGACACAATAGTATGTTTTACATCTGTAATTACAGAGTGACACCTGCCAGCCTGAAGGGGTAATTACGGTTATAGCTGCATTACATAAAGCCTCATTCTGAAGGGGTGTATCTGGTGTATCATGCCATACATAGCAGGGGTAACCAAAATATTTCCAAAATCATGAACAAACACACGATCCAGGTCCGATTTAATATAGTAAAAAAAATTCGTGATCTGATCCCATCTGTGAAGGACAAGATGTCTGACATGCAATATCCCGGCATCTACAAACTAAGCTGTATCTGCGGCAGCAGTTACATTGGGGAAACTAAGCGACATGTCTCGGACCGTGTTCATGAGCATAAGGCAGATTTGAAACACTGTAGGACCAATACTTCTGCCGTCGCTGATCATTATTTTAAAGCGGCTGGTTCACACGAAATTAATTTCTCAAAGATGATGGTACTTTGCAAGCCCACTGGCTATCAACAAAGATTCGTTCATGAAGCCATCCATATATACAGACACAATTTCAACCGAGATAATGGTTATAAACTCAGCAACATTGTATAGCTGGAATCACCCACTTTGGGTCATGATTTGATTTCTTGTCAAGGGAGCACAGGTTAAGTTATGACTTGATTTGTGTTGTTTTCTTACCCCAGGGAACAGCATCCCATCCACTTCACTGCGCCGGCGGAGCTCTTTTGCCACGCCCATTTTTGAAACATTATAACCTTCGGTGACCTTCCCTTCCCCCCCTTTCCTCCTGAAGCCTGCATGTGGTTTGGGAAAGGCTCGAGGAGTGCTATGGTAGCCCATAAACTATTGAGAAGGCTCTCTTCAAGAAGTTGCAGAACTTTCCAAAAATCTCTGGTAGGGACAATAAAAGGTTACGAGAGCTTGGAGATCTTTTGATGGAGCCTGAATCAGCCCAGGCTGACCCCTACTTACCAGGTCTCATTTTCTTGAATACCTACCATGGCGTGAACCCTATCGTAGAGAAATTGCCATTTGACGTGCAAGAAAAATGGAGAACAGCGGGTTCAAGATACAAGTCAGAGCATCAGGTTGCATTCCCCCCATTCTCTTTTTTCTCAAAGTTTATCCGCAACCTGGCTAAGACCAGAAATGACCCGAGTTTCATGTTTGGCACCACGGGGATTTCCAGTCCAGATCTCCCAAACATGGAAAGAGCAATGGCGAAACGAGGAACAGCGAGAGTGCCAATTTCCGTACACAAGACTGAGGTCTCTCATACGACATTCGCAAACTCCGTCCAGGCAACCACCATAAACATAAAGATAGAGGATCCAGAGAAGCAATGCCCATTGCATGATAAACCCCACTCCCTCCAGACATGCCGTGAGTTCAGGAGGAAGCCATTGGAAGAGCAGAAGAACATGCTGAAAGAAGTTGGAGTGTGCTTCAAATGCTGTGCTTCTACAAACCACCTTGCAAGGAATTACAAGGCAGATATCAAGTGCGAGGAATGTGGCAGTGACAAACACGCAACTGCTCTGCACACATTTTACTCCAAACCCAGTGGCACTAAGGCTTCTGATCCCGAAGCAGAGCACGGCGGGGAGCAAGGCGAGACCACCACACTCAGTTCGTCAATCACAACCAAATGCACAGAAGTCTGTGGAGAAGGCTTCAAAGGAAAATCTTGCTCAAAGATATGCCTCGTCCGAGTGTATCCCAAAGGACATCCTGAAAGGGCAGTAAGGAAGTATGCCATAATGGACGACCAGAGCAACAAGTCTTTGGGACGGTCAGAGTTCT